GTAAGCCAGAAGATAAGCCAACCTGAGCATCCCTGCCTTGGGGAGCCCCCAGTCTGACAGGGGAGATGCAAGTCAGCCCACCTCTAAGGAGAGGGTGACAGGAAGCCCTAGCCCTACACTCACTACGGAGCAGCAGTGGTTGTAGCTGTAGTCACGGAGAGGTGGCCTTGCGGGGGGTGGGGGGGGAGAACCGGGGGAAGGGGAGAAAGGGTGGGGGAAGGCCCCTGCTTGTCTTGTTCCCAGTGACCCAGGCAAAAGGCTTGCCAAGGCCCCCCTCCCACTGAAAGAAGCAATCAGGAGAACCACATGTGTATTTGCATAATATTTGCATTCAATTTGCTTCTGATTTACATAAACCCCTTAGCCTGGGCCTTCTCTTGGGCAGTTCTCTAGGTCTGTCCTGTCCTGGAAAATACCAGCCTCATTTCAACCCCTCTGAAGGCTCCTCTCTTAGCCTGCCTAAGTCACCTGGGGAATGGGTTGGGGGGCCAGGTCCCCAAGGATCAAGCGTGCCAGACTGGCCAGGGTCCCGTGTGAGGACACATAGCTATGACAGTGCCCAAGGAGAGGAGGAAGGGAAGGAGAGGTGACTGCTGGTGTCCACGTGCCTCCTCTTCCCACCCCCTCCATTGCCCCTTCAACAGATCACCAGGGCATTAAAAAACAGAGTGGAAATTCTGACTAGGGGAGCAAACTCCAGGAAGATTCCATGAAGCAAGTGGTTGAGCTAAGCTTTCAAGGAAAAGTAGGACGTGGAAAGGTAAACGGAGACCATGGTGAGGGACAGAAATCACCCACACACAGCAGGATTTAGTTTCTCATTCTGCAAATGAGATGGATGGATAGATGACGATGATGACAAAGACATATACATGATAGACGGGGAGAGATAGATGATAAACGATTGCTAAACAGAAAATGATAGATAATAGATATGCAGATTATAAATGATGGAGAAGCGATGATGAGGGCAGGTGGACAGGCAGACACTACTACTCACCCAGCTCTGGGCCAGGTACCAGGAATGCAGTGATGGGTTAAGCAAGCTTCCTCCAGCCAGTGAGACAGACAAGCAAGCAATTAATTAAAATTCAGAGTGGTGAGCACCGTGTTAGGGAGACATACAATTGTTGCAGAAGCACAGAGGAAGGGAATATTAATTCAGCTAGGAAGGGTGAAGTGGGAAGACATGGAAGAGATGGTGTCACAAAAGAGACACATTTGAATGGCATGTCCTGAAGGATACACAGAAGGTCACCAGCAGAAGAGGGAGCACAGGAGAGTGCTCTAGGCAGAGAAAATGATCTGAGACAAGGCATGATGGAGTGGATAAAATACAAAAAGGCCAGGCTGAGGGAGAATTCAAGAAACAGACATTAAGACTGAAACTTGGAAAGCAAACCAGGCCCAGGAGGTCCCCAGTGGAAGAACAACCCGAAGAGTCCAGAAAAACATCCTCGGAGCTTTAAAAGGTTACAGATGCTTTGAAGAAGCTACCTATAGTTTCAAAGGGACATAGCTAAAGGGGAAGGCTGGGAGACTGGGGAGGCCACTCAGGGAAATGGGGTGGCTGAGGGCAAGAAATGATATAAGAAATGATATGATAAATAATGAGTTAATGGATGGATGAATGGATGGATGGATGGATAGACAGATGGAAAGTTCAATTTATTATCTAGCACGTCATCTTGATAAACATTGGGTGAATTAAATTGGGGAACAGCTGGTTGTTGGTAGATAGATGAGCATAGATGGTGGAAGAAAGGAGGGAAGGGAGGAGAAAGAAAGGCTGAACGGCTGCCTGAGGAGCTGAATATGGGCGAATGGAAGGCTTGGGAGCAGAAGAGCCTACTCGTCTATAAGGGAACTTAGGAGGAGTACAGATTGATCAAAAAGAAAATTTCTCACCTCGAGGGAGATATAGAGGCCCTATTAATGATAGTGGTGGAAACGGTGAATGTTCCTCTTTAAAGAGAACTCTGGATTTCTTTCTGTTGCTTCATTATTGGTGTATAAAAATGCAACTGATTTCTATACATTGATTTTGTACACTACGACTTTGCTGAATTCATGGATCAGTTCTAGTAGGCTTTTGGTGGAGCCTGTCGGGTTTTCTATGTAGAGTATCACGTCATCTGCAAAAAGTGGAACCTTGACTTCTTCTTTGCCAATTCTGATGCCTTTCATTTCCTTTTGTTGTCTGATGGCTGATGCTAGGACTTCCAGCACTATGTTAAACAACAGTGATGAGAGTGGACATCCCTGCCGTGTCCCTGATCTCAAGGGGAAAGCTCTCTGTTTTCCCCATTGAGGATGATGTTAGCTGAGGGCTTCTCATAAATGGCTTTTATGATGTTTAAGTAAGTTCCTTCTATCCTGACTTTCTCGAGGGTCTTTATTAAGAAGCAAAGCTGTATTTTGTCAAATGTTTTTTCTGCATCTATCGACAGGATCATATGGTTTTTATCTTTTCTTTTGTTAATGTGATGTATCACATTGATTGATTTGCAAATATTGAATCAGCCCTGTAACCCAAGAATGAATCCCACTTGATCATGGTGGATAATTCTTTTTATATGCTGCTGGATTCAATTTAAGAGTATCTTGTTGAAGAATTTTGCATCTGTATTCATCAAGGATATTGGCCTGTAGTGCTCTTTTTTTGCTGGGTTTCTGTCTGGCTTGGGAATTAAACTAATGCTGGCTTCATAGAATGAGTCTGGAAGTTTTCCTTCCAGTTCTATTTTTTGGAATAGCTTGAGAAGAATGGGTATTAACTGATTTAAATGTCTGGTAGAATTCCCAAGGGAAGCCACCTGGCCCAGGGCTCTTATTTGTTGGGAGATTTTTGATAACTGATTCAATTTCTTCACTAGTTATGGGTCTCTTCAGATTTTCAATCTCTTCCCATGTGAATTTTGGTAGCGTGTGCGTGTTTAAGAATTTGTCCATTTCTCCCATTCACAATTGCCCAAAAAACATAAAATACCTAGGAATAAACCTAACCAAAGATATGAGATCTGTATGAAGAAAACTACAGAAAACTTATGAAGGAAATTGAAGAAATGGAAAGAAATGGAAAAATATTCCATGCTCATGAATCAGAAGAATAGATATTGTTAAAATGTCATTACTACCCAAAGCAATCTACACATTCAATGCAATCCCAATCAAAATTGCACCAGAATTCTCAAAACTAGAACAAACTATCCTAAAATTTGTATGGAACCACAAAAGACCCTGCATATCCAAAGTAAGATTGAAGAAGAAAACCAAAACGTGAGGCATCACAGTCCCAGACTTTATTTATATTTTTTAAAAAAATTTTTAACGATTATTCATTTTTGAGAGACAGGTAGAGCATGAGCAGAGTAGGGTAGAGGGAGAGGGAGACACAGAATCCAAAGCAGGCTCCAAGCTCTAAGCTGTCAGCCCAGAGCCTGACATGGGGCTCGAACTCACAAACCACGAGATCATGACCTGAGCTGAAGTCAGCCACTTAACTGACTGAGCCACCCAGGCGCCCCCACAATCCCAGACTTTAGCCTCTACTACAAAGCTGTCATCATCAAGACAGTATGGTATTGGCACAAAAACAGACAAATAGACCAATAGAATAGAATAGAGAACTCAGAATTGGACCCACAAATGTATGGCCAACTAATCTTTGACAAAGCAAGAAGGAGTATCCAATGGAAAAAAGACAGCCTCTTTAACAGATGGTGCTGGGAGAACTGGACAGCAATGTACAGAAGAATGAAACTAGACCACTTTCTTACACCATACACAAAAATAAACTCAAAATGGATGAAGGACCTGAATGTGAGACAGGCAACCATCAAAACCCCAGAGGAGAAAGCAGGAAATAACCTCCTTGACCTCCACCACAGCAATTTCTTACTTGACACATCCCCAAAGGCAAGGGAATCAAGAGCAAAAATGAGCTATTGGGACCTCATCAAGATTAAAAGCTTCTGCATGGCAAGAGGAAACAATCAATAAAACTAATAGGCAACCAACAGAATGGGAAAGGATAGTTGCAAATGGATATCAGATAAAGGGGTAGTATCCAAAATCTATAAGAAACTAACCAAACTCCACACTCAAATAACAAATAATCCAGTGATGAAATGGGCAGAAGATATGAACAGACACTTCTCCAAAAAGGACATCCAGATGGCCAACAGACACATGAAACAATGCTCAGTGTCCCTCATCATCAGGGAAATACAAATCGAAACTACACTGAGATACCACCTACGCTGGTCAGAGTGGCTAAAATGAACAAATCAGGAGACTATAGATGCTGGCAAGGATGTGGAGAAACGGGCACCCTCCTACACTGTTGGTGGGAATGTAAACTGGTGCAGCCCCTTTGGAAAACAGTGTGGAGGTTCCTCAAAAAGCTAACGATGGAACTAGCCTATGACCCAGCAATAGCACTGCTAGGAATTTACCCAAGGGATGCAGGAGTGCTGATGCATAGGGGCACATGGACCACAATGTTCATAGCAGCACTCTCCACAATAGCCAAAACATGGAAAGAGCCTAAGTGTCCATCAACGGACGAATGGATCAAGAAGATGTGGTTTATCTATACAATGGAATACTACATGGCACTGAGAAAATGAAATCTGGCCATGTGTAGCAACATGGATGGAACCTGAGGGTGTTATGCTGAGCAAAGTAAGTCAGGCAGAGAAGGACAAATACCATATGTTTGCACGTATAGGTGGATTAGGAGGAACTTAATGGAGGACCATGGAGGAGAAGAAGGGGGGAAATAGTTGGGGAGAGGGAGGGAGGCAAACCATGAGAGACTCTGGAATACTGAGAACAAACTGAGGGCAGATGGAGGGGAGAGGAGAAAGGGGGTGAGGGGGATGGAGGGGGGCACTTGTTGGGATGAGCACTGGTGTTGTATGGAAACCAACTTGACAATAAACTATGAAAGAAATAAAATAAAATAAAGAGAACTGATATTTGTGAAGAATGCCTACCTATTTGCTTTGTTTCACTGGAATTTGTCACAGCTGGTAAGCCCAGGTGTGGCACCGTTCACTGCGTCACCTGGAGGCTGTGACACCATAGGGACAGGAGTCCTGAACTGAGACACAGCACAGCCGGCTAACTCCGGCTCTAGGGAACCACGTGACAATAGAATGGGACACGTGTCACAGTGTGCCCCAGAGCATCTGGGAGTGGGAGTGGCTGTCAGTGTGGCTCCAGTCCACAACCTGTCAGTGTTAGCGGAAGTCTGAAACACAGGCTCCCTTTGAATCAGGTGGAAGGAAGGAGGACAAAGTGAGTGATGAGAGTACACGAAAGGACAAGTTGGGGGACACACACACCGGGGCACCAGTCCAGGCAAGTCTGATGCAACCAGAGCTTGGCAGAGTGAACTGGGGGGGGGGGCTTCCTGGAGGAGGTAACACCTAAGCTTAGGTGAAGGATGCTGCCTTTTGCTGAGAGAAGCACATCAGAGGAGAAGCAGTTTGGTGCGAGAGGTGGAAGAGGCTGAGGGCACGTGGAGCTGGAAAATTATATATTCAGTTAGGGACCAACTGATTTTGAGGTCGCCCTGTCTGTACTTCTGTTTGTGCCGTTCCAGCCATCTGACAGGCCTGCCCTCATCCCCTTCCTTCCATCTACTCCGTCTATCTGAAACTCTTCCCATCCTTCCAAGGGTGAGGATGAGCTGCTGAGGGGCGACCAGGGACCATGTTCTGGAAAGGCACACCCACAGGTGGAGGCAGGAGGCTTCACCCGCACCACAGCTCCCGCCAGAGCTTACGTGCCTTTCCACATGTCCTGGGCCAGCTTGGCCACTGTCCCCTCTTCCTCTTCCCCAGGCTTCCCCATCAGCGTGCTCTGCTGCCCACATTCCCCAGCTTTCCTGGCCTGATTGGAAGAGAGACAGGTCTCCTCCATCCAGAAGGAACAAGGTAGCTGCGTGACCTCAGTCAAGCCAGGAACCTCTCTGGGCCTCGATTTCCTTGCATATAGAACAAATTTAATAACCCCAGCCCCGCCCACCTCAGAGCACTCTAGTGAGAATGAAACGATGCAAACTGTCACCTACTGTGTACACAGGTTTTTGGTTTCAGTAGAAACCAAATATGACATAATTACATTAAGCTGATTCTTCATTTTCTTCTCTTCGCTCGTGGTAGTTTTTAATGTTTTTACAGTGAATAAGAATTACTTATTTAATAAGGTCAGAAAACTAAAGTTTGAAAAAAATATACTCAGGAATTGAGAGACATCCAGTATTTTAAAATCAGATAGGGGCATTTCCTGTTCTGCTAGTTCCCATTAAGGATTCTCTTCCACAGGGATCATTACTGTTACCGTCATCATCCCTGAGTGTGGACCCTCAGCCTCATTTCACAGGTGGGGAAGGTGACACTCAGGAACACTAGGTAACTGTCCCTGACACATGTGGCCCGTCACCCACGAGCCACTGCCTAGTGGTCTTCACATCAAGGAACAAACATACTTCTGTAGGACATCTTCCTGGTGTTGAACGTGCTTACATTCAATTTTTAATGATCACATGTATCCGGCTGCCGCATATGGAACTGTATATGCAGTGAAGCCTGAGCCATGTAGGACCCTTGATTAACACATGAATCCAGGTGCCTGAGTTTCTGAATAGCTACAAACTTAAGTATCAACTTTTTAAACATCTTTAGATCTTTCTTAGGAATTGTCCTCTAGATGGGAAGCCTCGGTGGCTCAGTTGGTTAGGCGTCAGACTTAGGCTCAGGTCATGATCTCACAGTTCGTGGGTTCGAGCCCCGCATTGGGTTCTGTGCTGGTAGCTCAGAGCCTGGAGCCTGCTTCAAATTCTGTGTCTCCCTCTCTCTCTGCCCCTCCCCCACTCATGCTCTATCTCTCTCTCAAAAATAAGCATTAAAAATTTAAAAAAAAAAAGAAATTGTCCTATAGAAAGATGATACTCCTCCCTAACTTCTTTTTTTTTTTTTTTAATGTTTTTGTGTGCGTGTGCGAGAGAGAGTAGCAAGCAGGGGAAGGGAGAAGGGAAGAGAGAGAGAGACAGAGAAAATATTTTTTAAATTTTTTAATGTTTTAAATAAAAATAGTATTTTCGAGAGACAGAGGGTGAGCAGGGAAGGGGCAGAGATAGAGGGAGACACAGAATCCAAGCAGGCTCCAGGATCTGAGCCACCAGCACAGAGCCCCATGCTGGGCTCAGACTCATAAACTGGGAGATCATGACCTGAGCCAAAGTCAGATGCTTAACTGACTGAACCACCCAAGTGTCCCCTTGAGAGAGAGAAAATCTGAAGCAGGCTCCACACCCAGCATGGAGCCCGACTCAGGGCTCAATCTCATGACTGTGAGATCATGACCTGAGCCAGATTCAAGAGTCCAATGCTCAACCAGCTGAGCCACCCAGACGCCCCCTCCCTGACTTCTTAAACAGAACATATGTTAAGTGATTTAGCCCTTTCTTGATGCCTAAGGAAAGCCATTCTATCCTAGCTGTACCTGAGTGTACATAACCCCCTCAGGTCCCTTTCTTCTCTGACTTCCATTTTCCCAATAACAATCAGAATAACTAATATTGATTGAGCACTTACCACATGCATAGTTCTACACATCAACTCATGTCATTGTCCGACCCCAGGGAGGTGGATGTCGTTATTACTCCTGCTTTATAGACAAGGGGAGGCACCAGAGTTTCAGTAACGTGCTCAAGGTCACAGGGCTGGCAGGCCGTGGGGTCAGGATTTGAATCCAGGCAGTGGGGCATCCAGCCTCAGCATGCAGGGCCTCATCTTCCAAGCCCCAGGAGGCGTTTGGTGGGTATAGACGCCTACCCCACCCCCGTGTGGCCGCGGCCTCCGAGAGAGAGCGCACCCTCCTCCAGAAACAGCACGGCCTTCCACCGGCCACCGGACGCTTCGTGGAAACTCTCTTCTCTTCCCAGCTCCCAGCTCTTGCCACAGTTTGGGAAACTTAAAGATCCTCATTCCTTCTCCTGTCGGCCCTCTGGCCCTGCCAGTTCTGAACTTTATACCTTCAGCCCTTTTCTGGCTCTTGACAAACGGAAAACGAAATCATTCTGAGGACTGATACATGTGTGTGTGTGTGTGCGCGCGCGCGCGCGCGTCTGTGTGTGTGCGCGCGCGCGCGCGTCTGTCTGCCCGTAGGGAAAAAAAAAGACATTTTTGGCACTTTCCTCAACTCCAGTTGCATAACACCGGAAGAGACGAGGGGCTGGACAGAAACTCAAGGAGGTGGCCACAGCCTCCTGCCCACCCACCCCAGCCTGCCCTGCGCCACACAGCAAAGCTCTCTGCTGCCCCGTCCCTTCCCCTGCCCTTCTGCAGAGAATTACTGTCGCGGCCTCAAACCCAACCTGGAAAATGAAGCATTCCTGCCCACCTTCCAACCTCATCGCCCACAACTCCCTGGCACCAACCCTTTTTTCCAGACAAACCAGGCTCCTCATTGATCTCAACACATGTTTCATGCTTTCCTACCTCGGTGCCTCTGCCCACACCGCTTCCCCTCCAGGACCGCCCTCCCTTTCCTCCCCCCGCATCCAAATCTACCGTCCTTCGAGGCCCTGCTGGAGACAAGGGCTAGTCAAGCCTGACTAGTACCTAGTATGTGCTGCAATGCTGGGGTCACCGTGATGAAGAAGGCAGGTAGGTTTGCTGCCCTCAAAAGAAGTCATGAAAAAGAAATTACACAATTACAAACGGTGAAAAGCTTTTCTGTTTCGCCTCTCTCCACACCCTCTCTGCCTAGGGGGCCACCGCCATTGTCCGGCAGCACCCGGTAATAATGTGGGTCTCTCCCTTCCACCACCATCTCCATTTATGACACTCTCTTAAATCTTTATGGTTTTCAACTAGTGCCCACCTCTTCTGGGGAACCTTCCAGAATCCCCAGTCCGAATGCAATTACTGCCTCGGAACGTGCCCCCATTGCTGGCTTTGGTGGTCCCCCTCCATGGGCAGCCCTGTTCCAGATCTCATCAGTCCACTGGCACAGTGGATGTCCTCCCTGATCCCGCAGCCCCGGGGCCTCTGACCGCACCCCTTCCCACGTACCCCACCGTGCCGCTCGGAGACCACGATGCTCTGTGCGCGCCGTGTTGTGATGGGGTCACAGTGAAGCCATGATGCCTATAGGGCCTGTCTGATGTTGCTATGTTAAACGTCGCAATGTTAACTGCGCAGACCCAGAAGTCTGGGCCGAGCAGTGTCATTCTTAGGGTGAAGGTCGGATCATTTTTTATTTTTAAATTTTGCTCAAAATTATTATCTTAGGTAGCTTCTTTAAATCTGTTTATTTTTTTTGTTTGTTTACATCCAAGTTAGTTAGCAGATAGTGCAATAATGATTTCAGGAGTAGACTCCTTAACACCCCTTACCCATTTAGCTCACCCCCTCTCCCACTCCTAGGTAGCTTTTTGATATCTTTGTAATAATTTGTAAGTGGGTTGCTCAACAGACAAAACACTGAACAGACACAGCTCCAGCCAGAGAAAATCATCCTGCCATTTCCTGTACCCAAAATTATTCCAGAATTGGAACAATGAAAATGTTTTCATTAATGATGGTTGTTGGAAGGTAATTTGGTAGGACAAGGTACACTCAGGAAACGGCCAAATGGAGGTAAGGCAGTGTTCATTCTAGAGTAAAAGCAGGAAAAAGCTAAATCAAATTCTGTGATTATGCCAAGCACTGAGGAGGAGACAGTACCTCACAAAGATAATGAGAATTGAGTCCAAGACGCCACCATGCCTCAAAATCCTTTTAAGAAACAGTTCCCTTTTCCTGGGGTGTTAGCCTGTCAGAGGAGTCACCACGCAGCCCTGTGTTAAAGAGTGGATGGGCGCGTGAGGAGTGAGGGGTAGAGACGGCGTTGCCGCTGAATGAAGTGGCAGCATAGCGTTGCTGCCAGCCCACCATGCTGCCCTCGGTGATCCCACGAGGTGCCCACTGGGCAGCCGCCGGGAGGTGTGCCGGGCAGCCATCCGCCACGCTGAGGCCATCGGCCCACTCAGCCAGCCGCTGTGGAGGCCGGTGCCCACTGCCGGTGGGAACACAAACTGGTGCAACCTGTCTGAG